AATGGTTGGTTCCCTGTACAACTCATGTAAGTATTTTAATCTTCCTGCTATCCTTTATGTTTATAAGAGCCAAATCAGGCTAAAAATGGAGTACTGCTGCCATATATGGGCAGGAGCTGCTCAGTCTTCACTTTCCAATCTTGATAGACTTCAAAAGTGTCTCCACATCCTTGTGGGTGATGAATTATTTTCCACCTTAAAACCCCTTTCCCACAGATGAAACATTTCAAGCCTCCTTTTGCTATATCACTGTTTCATGACTTCATGGCTAAAATCCACCATGCCACACACATTGTAGCACTCAAGCAGCTTCTTCACCCAACCTGCTGCTTTGTGGAATTGATTCCCAAAAGGATGCTTCCTTAACCATTACAATCTTAACCTGTTCAAATCTAGGGTTAACTGTTATCTTCCCCACATATCCCCATAAACTGTGCCCCTTACTCTGTAACCCTCTACCTTGAGTGCTCTTGGGCCTTGTACAGGGTGAACATCATTGTAAAAAAATAAAATAATAATCATGAAAATGTCCCATCTAAAAATTGAAAGAACATATATTTTTCATGAAAAATTTCTTTTACAGCTATTATTTTAAAAAATCTATTTTCTCCAAAAAATCAACAAATTTTAATCAGTAACTTGTAATGATAAGGAAAAAATCATAAAAATTAAATCTTTATATCTGAAACTATGCAATTTTAGGAATGGATTTTTCAATTATTATATTTATGTATTATAATATATTTTATTACTTAAATCGAAACGTTATTTTTTTAGTGGATACGCTTATTTAAAACAGTAAATTAATAATTTATTTATTTTCATCTGCCAGCCTGATGAATATTCGAAAAATCTAGAACTATCTATAAAAACGTTAAAAATAAGATGAAATAGATAAACGGTACACCTGAGGAAACCGGAGAAGGAATTTGAAAGTATTATAAAAATAAAAACCATAAAGATGTAAATATTCACAGTAATTGCAATAATCATATTTGAATTTTCCTGGTGAGGAATAAGCTTTCGTGAGATGCAAGGGAGGTAATTCTGGTTGTTCGATGCTTGAGAAATTTAGAAACTAGAGAATAATCCTATCGCGGTAGATTAACCAGGTATTGTTTGAGAATTTTATTATTTTTTATTCATATTCATTGATTTCTTTCTGAATGGGGAATTATAATGAGTATTATAACAGATATTGCTTTTGTTTCAATAAGTTCTCGAAATCACAATATCAAAAGAGAATAAAAGTTATCTCAGACCTAATCAAGAAAAGAAATATTTTAAAGAAGATACGATGAAGGTGTTGTGAATATGGATTGTCTCCTCTTAGATAATCCAAGCTATAAAAATCTGTATACTCATCTGTCAATTCAGATAACCCGAAGGAGGCTACGCAGAAGGCCTTTTCATATTTCTGGGAGGTAAAACCGGCCCTGAACCCGTTTATACGGGTTCAAATGGAAATATTTTTTACCGACCCTAATTTTAGATTTTGCCAAGAAATAAAAAGGCCTTGTGCCAAATGACATAAAAACTAGATGGGGGGCGCAATATTCAATATGAATGAACAGTAGATTTCTAAACATGAAAGGAGGCTACGTCAAGAAAGATTTTTTCGGGGAGGTAAAACTGGCCCTGAACCCGTTTATACTACCATTTTTGATTTTTTTTTTGGCCGACTTAATAAAAGTAAATACCCACGAAAAAAAGGAGATTGTGTATAATTTTTTGTCGTGGTGGGGTAGTGACTCAATATCGATCAGTAGTAGTATTACCCGAAGGCTGACGCCGAAGGGCGGAGTTATTCGAAAAAGGTAAAATGATGCCCTGAACCCGTTTTACGGGTTCAAATAAACTGAATAAGAGCCAATGGAGCTGGAATGCCCACGTTAAAATAAAAATTAACATGCCAAATGACACCCTATGGGGGGTGAAATAATATCGATGAATAGTACTATTCTAACCAAAAGGAGGCTACGCCGAAGGGCACCAACAGAATTGGGGAGGTAAAACCGGCCCTGAACCCGTTTATACGGGTTCAAATGAAATGCTAAAAGGTTCCGTTGTGAATATGGAATGCCCACGTTAAAAAGATAATCCAAGCTATAAAACCCTCGTGGGGCTGTGACTCAATATCGATGAGTAGTAGTATTCTTAATTGAATAAACGATTACTAGACAGAATCTCTTGTCCTGTTTTCATTACATTTTATTCAATTAAGAATGGAACAATTTATGCGTCCGGAGCGACTTACCACAGATCCAGAAAGCGATTCAGCCGACAAGTGCTGGAAACATTGGCGGGAGACATTTACAAATTTCATCGAGGTTCTACATTCAGAAAGACCGGGACGTCCCATCAATAAGCGTGCGCTCCCTAACCAACTACCTGTCTCACACAGTCAACGAAATTATCTCGGATTGCGTTACCTACGAAGAAGCAATCGATGTACTGAACGCTACATACATAAAGCCCCAAAATGAGATATTTTCTAGACACCTACTTGCGACTCGCCGACAAGAATCAGGCGAGACATTGGACCATTTCCTTAAGAGCCTTCGGACACTGAGCAAAGATTGCAACTTCTGCCCAATGACGGCATTAGAGGCCCAAGAGCTACACATTTTGGACGCCTTCATTAACGGCTTACGCAATACTCAGATAAGACAACGTCTTCTTGAGAATAAGACCCTTACACTTAGAACAGCTTACGAGCAAGCCTATATCTTCGAAAGTGCTATACAGCAGTCTAGTTCTTATTTACAGCCAGACACCGTGGGCGCCGCATTAAACCCACCTGTTCTTACTGTCCCCCCTCATGACGATAGTCCGACGAAGCTTCAAGAACAATCGGTCACTGCCGCTTTAAAAAGGACACTTGCTATTTTTGCGGCTTATCTAAACACCTACAAGTCTCATGCCCTGCCAGAGATACTCGTTGTCATAAATGTGGAAAACTTGGTCATTTTTCAAAGGTATGCAAGTCTTCTAAAACTCTATACAAATTCACTCGTCAAAATACTTCTGCAACTTTAGCCGCCTCCCCGACTGCCTTTCAAAAACTATTGTAAAAGTGAAAATTAACGGCAGGTCTACAAATGCCCTGCTCGATACCGGGAGCTCAGGAAATTTTATCAAAGAAAGCTTGGTAAAAACCAACAAATTGTATTTTGTCCCTCCCCAGCAGAGTAACAATGGCAAACGCGTCATTGTCTGCGCAAGTAAGTGGTTATTGTTTGGTGGACTTACTATTTAATGACGTCTCCTATAAAACCACTAAATTATCCGTAATGAAAACCTTTGTTGCGAAATAATACTGGGACACAATTTTTTGCAGCAACACTCACAGGTTGAAATTCCGTTTGGCGGTTCAATGCCCGCATTGAAAATTTGTGGATTGGCGACAGCAAAAATCCAGTACCCGTCACTTTTCGAAAAACCTAACTGAAAACTGCAAACCCATAGCAGTGAGAAGCAGACGTTTTTCTAATAATAAAAAAATTCATTGACTCTGAGATAAAAAGACTACTTGAGGAGGGTATAATTGAGCCTAGCAAATCACCCTGGAGGGCTCAGGTAGTTATAACCACTTCTAGCAACCATAAAAAGAGAATGGTTATAGATTACTCCCAAACCATGAATAGATTTACTCTTTTGGACGCCTTCCCACTACCCAGGATAGATGAAATGATAGGCGAAATAGCCAAATATCGTATGTTTAGCACTCTGGACTTGAAAAGCGCGTACCATCAGATCGCCATTAGTAGACCTAGAGACAAGCCATACACTGCTTTCGAGGCGAACGGTCGACTATATCAATTTCGCAGGATTCCTTTTGGCGTTACGAATGGGGTAGCCAGCTTCCAAAGGATAGTCGACCAAATCATAACGGATGAGAAACTGGAAGGCACATTTGCGTACATCGACAACGTCACAGTATGTGGCCATAATAGAAAGGAACACGACGAAAATCTCAGACGGTTCATGTCCGCCGTCGATAAATACAACTTTACCCTAAACGACGACAAATGCTCGTTTGGACTGGACAAAATAAACCTACTGGGGTATGCCACAAGCAAAGGTTTTATGGCACCGGACGCAGATCGATTGAAACCTTTACTCCAGATGCCTGTCCCTCACAACCAGCCTTCCCTTCGACGTGCTATGGGCATGTTTGCTCATTACTCTCAATGGATTGCTTCGTTCTCAGAAAAGATACATCTATTGACACAAGTAGAGACGTTTCCTCTGTCCCATCAAGCCGTTGAGGCATTCGAGGGACTGAAAAAGGATATTGCGAAATGTACAATTATAACAATAGACCAAAATTTCCTCTGGTTGTTGAAACGGATGCGTCAGACTGTGCTATTGCTGCTTCTTTGAAACAAGCTGATCGTCCTGTAGCCTTCTTTTCAAGGACCCTCTCACAGGCTGAACGACGACACCCCGCAATTGAAAAGGAAGCCTACGCCATAGTCGAGGCATTAAGAAAATGGCGACACTACCTGATCGGACGCCACTTTAAACTTATTACTGACCAGAAATCAGTTGCTTTTATGTTCAACTCTAAAACTACGAGTAAAATAAAGAATGAGAAAATAGCGAGGTGGAGAATTGAACTATCTTGTTTCTCCTTTGACGTCAGCTACCGACCTGGCAAGGAGAACTTAACAGCTGATACACTGTCAAGAGCATGCTGTACGGCATCAAGCGGGGACGAACTCCGAACGCTACATAACAGTCTCTGTCACCCGGGCATTACTCGAATGGTTCATGCTGTGAGGTGTAGAAACTTGCCTTTGTTGCGGCGCTAAGCAGGTTGACTGTTAACCCCGCAAACAGAAAAATAATATAAGGTAATACGATCGAAGCAAGGACAACAAAGACGAGGATTTAAAAGTTTAAGCCAAATTTTATTAAATAATCTGGCACAAGTATATACAAATAATCGTTTGTGGTAGTTCGGTCGTGTAGATTTGAAGGAGCGTTGTCAGGTTTCAAGGCGACAGCTTGGAGGTAGGCCGATGGAACAGCGGTGTTCGAGGTCCAGTCGATCCCTGGATGTCTGTCCTTGAGTAAAGAGCGCGTCGGCGCTTGAGGAGAGAGAGGAACGACGCGGACAGTGCTGGTGTAGTCAGTTCGTCCTTGGGTAGACTGTCGTGCAGGATCGCAGCTGGGTAGTCCTAATAAAAGGACGTTCGTAATAACGCGGCTAAGTTAGTCCTGAAAAGGACTATTGCATAATGTGTAATCGAGGGCAGACTATTGCATATCATGTAACCGAGTGTAGGCTAGTGCATATCATGTAGCCGATGGTAGACTAGTGCATATCATGTAACCGAGGATAGGCTAGTGCATATCATGTAACCGAGTGTAGGCTAGTGCATATCATGTAGCCGAGTGTAGACTAGTGCATATCATGTAACCGAGTGTAGACTAGTGCATATCATGTAGCCGAGGATAGGCTAGTGCATATCATGTAGCCGAGGATAGACTAGTGCATATCATGTAACCGAATGTAGGCTGCTGCTGATGTCTGCGTCGCTACTGCTGCTGATGAAGCTGGGCTGCTCTGCTGCTGGCCGAGTGTAGGCTGCTGCTGCTGTCTGCTTCGCTGCTGCTGATGAAGCCGGGCTGCTCTGTTGCTGCTGCCTCTGGCTCTAGCTGCTGGTGAAGCTGGGCTGCTCTGCTGGCTCTAGCTGCTGCTGATGAAGCTGGGCTGCTGCTGCTGGCTCTAGCTGCTTCGTGTGGTCAGCGAAGGTGAGAGGGGGAGCTCGTCGCTCAAACCCCGAGGCCAAAAATCAGCCGGGAGAGTTGGTATTTACTTGACTCCCACTAAGTCAAGATGTGACACAAGGTCGATTAACGTGGGAGACCCGAGTGTTTCCACTCAAAGGCCACTGGTCAAAATTGGTCATAGCTTGTCCTAACAGGTCCAGGCCGGAGCCAGTCCAAGCTAGTCAAAGCCTTGATCGAATCTCAGCCATAGGCCAAAAACCGATCCAATATTTGTCAAAACCCCGACCAAAAAATTTGGTGGAAAAAATCTGCTGTGTTTATATAGGCTGAGGTCGGCAACGTAGCCTGTCAACGATATATTTGGGGTGATGACTGAAAATTACCTTCTACTTTTTGGCTGTACACATGGGTTCCATTAGGACACCATGTGTATATAAAGTAGTTTCTGGTAATTGTTTTTGGTTAGCAAAGTTCGTATATGTAAATGTTTCATTTTTTTTAGTTTGTGTGAGACGTTGACTAAAAAACGCTGAGTCACCGGAAGTTAACGGCATTCGTTATGTTTTCCGCGGTGACGCTTTTAGATGTTTGAGTAGCCGGCAGTAGCTTCCGGCCGTGTGCAATACCTTTCTCAGTGGAGGAGGTAAAAAGAATTACAAATTCTTGTCGAACGTGTGCTGAAATAAAGCCTCGGTTTTATAAACCCCAAACTGGCGTTTTAATAAAAGCAACACAACCGTTTGAAAGACTCAATCTTGATTTTAAAGGACCGCTACCAAGTAAAACAAGGAACAGATATATATTAACGGTTATCAACGAATATTCACGGTTTCCTTTTGCCTTCCCTTGTTCAGACATATCGGCTGCTGCAATTATACAGTGCCTCTGCTCACTGTTCGCCATCTTTGGAGCCCCTGCCTATATACATTCGGACCGAGGGGTTTCTTTCATGTCAGAGCAGCTTCGGCAATTTCTACAGGAACGAGGAGTAGCTATAAGCTGGATAACTCCCGACAACCCTAAGGGTAACAGCCAATGCGAAAGATATAACGGCATTATTTGGAAGACCGTTCAATTGGCTGCCTCAAATAACGGATGTACAATTGATAATTGGGAAAATCTCCTTCCTGTCGCATTATACGCCATTCGTTCCCTATTGTTTACCGCCACGAATGCCACCCCACACGAAAGGTTTCTACCTTTTCAGCGACAGAGTTCGGCGGGAGCTTCGCTTCCATCTTGGCTCTCTCGATCCGGTACTGTGTTTCTGAGACGACATGCACGTTACACCAAGAACGATCCCTTGGTGGACGAGGTAGAGCTTATAGAGGCGAACCCTCAGTATGCGCTAGTATGACATGCAGATGGTAGAGAGTCTAATGTGTCTCTCAGGGACCTAGCACCGGCCGGAGACGTACCCAGACCGTGGATAGCCCCTGAGGACAGACCAACTACCCCTGACACTGAAGCCCCTCCGGAAGATCATGGCACTGAAATTGTTCCTGACACGCCGTCTGACGACACTGTCTCCGTTGAGGCCCCGTCAGACACTTTGGATGGGCCAACACCTGAAACCCTGACAGATGAAGGGCTAGCACTGAATAAACGTGTTCATGGGAACAGCCTGCTCCTCTGAGAAGGAAACATTTCGGAGCAAGGAATTTTAGAGCCCACAGACAGGCTCGCACTGAAGAGCCTCCCTGTTCGAGTACTCCGACCACGAATCATGGACTGCCGAGGCGGCCACTGCGAACTCGTAGGGAGCCTGGACATTTAAGGGACTTTCTTCCCTATCAGTGAGAAATTTGGTGGGGGAGAATGTTGTGAATATGGATTATCTCCTCTTAGATAATCCAAGCTATAAAAGCTGTATACTTCCGCTGTCAAGTCAGATGAGTAGTAGTATTACCCGAAGGAGGCTATGCCGAAGGGCGGAGTCTCATTTGGGGAGGTAAAACCGGCCCTGAACCCGTTTATACAGGTTCAAATGGGCTATTTTTTGGCCGAGCCTAATGGCTCGGGAATGCCCACATTAAAAAGGCCTTGTGCCACATGACACCTTCGTGGGGGGGGGTGACTCAATATTGATGAGTAGTAGTATTCTTAATTGAATAAACGATTACTAGACAGAATCTCTTGTCCTGTTTTCATTACAGAAAGTTTTAATTTTTATTGTGGCCTTATTTTAAACATCCAAAAATTTATTGAAAATTGAAGAATAAACAAAAAGGTTTTGTAAAATACAACAAAAAAATTTTATACAGAAGTTTTTCAATAAAATTTAAATTATTTGTTAGTCTTTTGTCTGCTTGAAATAAGTGTGTATGTAAGTGTTTTTAACAAAAAGAAAAAACAATTTTTTATGAAGGTGAAAAATAATTTGTGACTGAACAGGGAATAAAAGTTACTTTACTTTTGTGAATAACTAAAAATCAAATGCATTTGATTTGATAAGCAGGACTGATCATTTTGAAAGGCAGAAAAGGAATTTCTCTTTTTGCTTTCAGCTTCTTTTGACTTGTATCTTTTATCTTTCATGCAGATTTTTCTTTCATATAAACATCATGTAAACAAATGATTTGTTGCATAATTGTTTTTTTAAACAAGCAATTTTAATTTCCAAATGTGTTAGCTGAAAGGTATTAAATTCAGTATTATAGGTGTTTGAAAGATGAAACTGCAACATATGTGATATAAGCTTTAAATAATGTGCAAATTTTATCTTTTTATGTAAATTATAAGCTGATTAAATTCTAGTTTAAATTTGGCTTCTTGGCATATGCTTCATTAATATTTAATAAAAATAAGTTGGTAAACTTAAAAAATATGTTTTAATCGTGTATCTATTCTAATTTAAGTGTATAAAATTTGTTTAATCAAATTTTAATTTATATAGATTTTTATAATTCTTTATTACTTTTCATAATTCTTAGATTCTCATAATTCTTTATTATTTTTCATAATTCATAGATTGTCATAATTCTTTATTACTTTTCATAATTCATAGATTGTCATAATTCTTTATTATTTTTCATAATTCATATATTGTCATAATTCTTTATTATTTTTCATAATTCATAGATTTTCATAATTCTTTATTACTTGCTCATGTAATAAACAATGTAATTCAATGAAATCAGTTACATTTTGCTCTGAATTTGCATGAAAATATTATTTTAAAATAAAGATTGAATAATGCATATTTAAAATATAACACAAAAACATATCCAGACAATTTGATATTCACATTTGCTTAATCTGCACAATGGTAAAAGTGGGAAAACAGTGTAAGAAGATTATGTAATGCAAATCTTTCAATCAGAGAGTGCTTGCTGTCTTAAAAATCATTATTCAAAATGCTAAGTTTACATGTCTCTAGTGAGAAATATATAACTCCCTCAGACACTAGACAGGATATACAGCAAGGGTATATTGATAGCTTAGGATGACTTAAGAGCAAATAATTAGGTAAAAATAGGTATAAGACTTTAACATAGAGAAATCAGAGGAACAGATTGATTATCATACCTTAATAGTATTGTGTAAAGTTGTCAACATTTGGAATCTGAATAAGCAGTTTAATCACCATGTTTTACAAATATTGCATAGAGATTCTGCTAAGGATCCTTAATGAATAGATTAAACATCATACCATAGTATTAAGTTTTAAATATCTGCAATCTGAAATTTATTAGTATTATGTTGAATCTTCAACATTTGGAATCTAGGCAAATAGATTAATCATCATACTTTATTTGTATTGTACAAACATTAAGAATCACTGACAAAGTTTAATCTCTGTGTCCACAAAAAACAGTTTTTCAAGAGGACAGTTATTTACTTGTTGCCGCGGGCCGAGAGGTGTGAGTGCCAATTGACCGTACAACTAAAATAGGGGACACAAAGGCAAGGAGTTGGCAATAGCAAAGAAGGATGACAAATGCAGATGGTCCGTTGTAGACGATGGAAATCGAGTCTTTATTTGTGAACGGTGGATGGTAAGACGACAGAGGTCGTTTGTTCGGGAACGGTGTCCGGACATTAACGGGAGCTGGACGTCAGTGGGTGCTGGAATAGGTAGCGGGACGTCAGTAGAGCGCCGCAGGGGTGAGCTGGAGGCCGCTGGAAGCTGTTGGGGTGAGCTGGAGACTGTAGGAGTGCTGGAAGCTGCAGGAGTGAGCTGGCGTCTCAGAGGGAAGGCAGTAGCAAAGAAGGAAGTGAGTGGAGCCCTGAAGAATGGTGATCGAATGACTTTCGGAATTTAGCCCTGAAAAGGACTGTTTGAACAACTGCTGCTGGGTCCCGTCAGCTGCTGGGCGCATCAAAGTCGCGAATCAGGAAGGCTTCCTGCTCCCTGGCCAGTGGTATTTACTTAACTCCCACGGGGTCAAGATGTGACACAAGGTCGTTTTTCGTGGGAAACCCGTTTCCGCATAGGGTCACTGGTCAAAGATTGGTCATAACATGTCCAAGCTGGTCAAAGCTTAGTCAAGTTCTGGTCCAAGTTAGTCTTAGCTTGTCTTAGCAGGTCCTGATATGGTTCAAACTAGACTTTGCCATGGTCGCAACCCAGCCTGAAGGCCGGGCTGCTCCCCTGGCCGGTTAAAAACCACTGCGAAGTCTCGGGCATCTAGATATGACGGTTCATACAAGAGAAGCGGTGACACTAAACAAGTAAATGAATATAATTAATTTCGGGCCGTATTAATTACAGTCAAAAGTGTGTTCGGTGTTTGTTGACTGTTTTTAAATTAATTTCGGTTCGAAATTAAAGGTCTTTTATTTTTGTTTAGTGGCGAAAATTGAGTTTTGTGTGTTTCTGTCAGTTTGAAAGGATGTCGTTGCTATTTTTAGCACACAAGGGTCGTGACCTTTCTCTACCTGCAGGCATATCCGGGGTTGTTTAAGAAAAGGTGGGAGTGGTGTTTGGGCACACTGCGACACCCTTGACACTGCTATTAGTGTATATTCCCTTCAGTTCTTCAGCAATTTTTATTGTTTTGAAAAGTGATGATTGGAATTTTAATAAATCCAAACATATGAAAGTGAATTTACACATTTTCTTTATTCTTGAAAATTTACAACAATAATCTTAAACATTTTATTTATCAGATTGTTTATTCACAAGAATAATTTTATATTTACAATATTGTTAAAATATACAAATCAAACTATAATGCAATGTTTGTCATTTACCAATTCATAAAGAAATATGAAAATGATCTCATTACTCATAAATTTATAAAAATTTACTAATTATAAAAATATGTGAACCAACTATAATGAAATCTTTATTATTTACCATTTTATAAGTACAAATTGATTGGCGATTTGTTGATGATTTGCTAACCATTCCATAGAACAAAATTTGCCCACTTCACTTGCCTTAGACAAGGTGCTTAGTGTTCACTGTTGATTTAAAATTTCTTCATCAATCAGCACATGGCTGATAATAAATAATCTATCAGCAGAATTTCTAGGCATTTATAGAATAAAAGGATTCTTGCTAAATAGATTAATCATCATATTTTATGAGTATAATATGCAGACTTAACATTATGATTCAAGATAAATAGATTAATCATCATATTTTATGAATATAAGAGATTTAATATTAGTATTCTTGATAAATATATTATCATATTTTAGGAATATAAGATACAGACTTAACATTAGGATACTTGATAAATAGATTAATCATCATATTCTATGAATATAACATATACACACAAGGTTTCTTAATAAATAGATCTATCATCATATTTTATGAATATAATGTACAGACTTAATATTAGAATTCTAGACAAATACATTAATCATCATATTTTATGATATTATATACTGACTTTGCATTAGGTGTCATGATAAATAGATTAACTATCATATCTTATGAATATAGCTTACAGAACCAACATTAGGATTTTTACTAAATAGATCCATCATAATATTTTATGAATATAACATACAGATTTAACATTAGGATACATGATAAATAGATTAATCATTATATTTTGTGAATATACAGACTTAACATGAGGATTCTTGACATATAGTATAATTGTAATCTTTTATGATTATAATGTACAGGCTTAACATTAAGATACTTAACAAATAGATTAATCATCATATCTTATGAATATAACAAATAGATTTAACATTAGGATACTTGATAAATAGATTAATTATCATATTTTATGAATATAACATACTGACTTAACATTAAGATTCTTGCTAAATAAATCCATTATCATAATTTATGTACATAATATACAGACTTAATTTTATGAATTATATATATATATATATATATATATATATATATATATATATATATATATACACACTTTAATTCACATGTTTTTAAATTATTTTTATAGCTTTCAATGTTTTCAGTTTAGTGATGTCAACATTTGGAATGAACATGAATAAATTAATTGATATTCCCAACTATATATTTTGATTAAAGTGTTGAATTGTTAAGTTTACTGTGAAAATTTTTAGGGCTATTATATATATATATATATATATATATATATATATATATATATATAGCAATTAATCGATTTGTAACTTTATGCTACCAACATCTGATAAGAATATGAAACTAAATTTTTCATATGTAAAATAATTGTTTATTCACTTTTGGTGACTGTCAAATTAATATCAGTTGAATTGAGTGGTATGCATTTTTGGGTTTTTCTTTGAATGTTTGATCTTCTTCTTGTGAGTATGTGAGGAACACTGTTGTTTTCTTTATGTGTTGGTGATTTATATAAATTTCTGTCATCTTGTTGTGTGTGCATATCCTAAGTTTAGCTTTGTTCACTTCTAGTTTAAGGCTCAATTCTGTGCTTGGTGGCTTTGAGATTACCTTTTATATCAGCCTTCAAGACACCTAGAATTTTAATTTTATGAGGTGAAACCAAATACAAAATTTGCTTTGGTATCTTTTAGTGTGAATTGAGTATATACTGGGGTAACCACAGATCAACTCTAAATAGATTAAAGATTTTTGATGGACATTAAAATTGATTCAGAACCCTGATATTTTCTGTCTGGTATCACATACTACAGATCTTTTTAATTCAGCATTATTTCTTATTGCTATAAATGTTATATTTAATGAGTACATATATTTGAGTAAACATCTACTTTTTTTAAACAGTGAAATCAATGTCTAACAATCAAGAGTATGAAAGTTCTACTAAAGAAAATTTGTCTCCCAACAAGAATTAAACTTATATTCCCTTTTTTTTAAATCTGGGAAACTACTTTCAAGTCAAATGTGCTTTAAACATAGGAAGCTTTCACAGCAAAACCCGGATCAATTACCCTATTTAAGAAATGCACATTTCTTATTGTGTCTTTTGACGTCCATATTTGTTAGCTTTATTTTTGTACTCAAAATGTAAACAATCAATTGATTTTAAAAATTTGACATTATTTCTCATATCTCTCTCTGTCTCTTTACCCACCATAGAGAATCCTTCCTGCCTCCAATCAGAATGGCTGATTCCCAACTCCTGGAGAGGGCCTTGTTATGCCTGCTTGGTTTTGCGCTGTCCACTGACATGAGGTGAAATAAATACATTGAATCAATAGCTTCATCTACTGCAAGGAAATTTGGCTCTCTGTGTCATGCCAGAAAGTTTATCTCATCTGAGTCTATCCTTCAAATCTATAAATCAACCATCCATCCTTGCATGGAATATTGCTGTCATATATGGTTTGGTGCTTCTGCTGTACATTTCAAGGTACTTGACAAAATCTCGAGATGAATATGCAAGATTATAGGTCCTGATCTGGCATCTAGTCTGCAATCGCTATCCCACAGATGTGCCGTTGCCTCCCTCTGTCTCTTATACAAGTATGTTCATGTCAACTGTTCCAACAAGCTACTTTTGCTGGTCCCTGGACTACATGAATTTAAGTGAGCTACCAGGTTGGCATCTTGGTCTCACCTTTTCACTGTCAAAATGGTTAAATGTAACCGTCTCTTCTACTCAAACATTTTCTTCTCCTGCACTTACCATCTGTAGAACTCCTTTCCCCTTACTTGCTTCCCCGATGACTATAATCTTCAAATATTCAAGTGTAATGTCAATCAACATCTGACACCCTGAGCTTGTTCCTTCTCCTTTCCTCAAACATGCCTCTTTACTCTTGTTCTCAATCCTCTGTAACCCCTTGTGTGTTAGTAGCACTCACACATTGTTTGGGGTGAATTGCCTTAAAAAAAATATAGATACACTCATATTAATATTTCCATATTTGTAAGTATGTGTGTGTGCTTTTAATGTTTAGAGATCAAATGGTAATTTACAGGGATTCAGTTTTATTCATAGAGAACCACAAGACTCTTCATGATAACATAGGTGTCAGGTTACTTCCTCCTAATTGTTTAAACTGCTACTAAGGGACGCTCTCTGAACTATAAATTCTCAGTGATATATTTTTCTCACTCTCTTATCACCATATCCGCTTATTCATCAAACCTCTCGCAAAGAACGTGTTCCCTTTGAGAAAAAGATGAATGACACACCTATACACATGTACATATGCACATTCACTCACTACATATATTTTGAACCAAAAAGGTTTTCACATTCATTTGACACACAAATCTTTATCTTTGTCACTTGTAACCATTTGTTGTTAATACATTATCATTTGTTGTACTTATATATATATATATATATATATATATATATATATATATATATATATATTGGTTCTTGTCATTTCTTTGCATTTCTTTATATGGACTCACATACTGAGTCCATCTTTGTTGTGAGATTTTCAGAAGACAGCATGTTATTACCAATTTCAAATACCAAACTTACTAACACCTGCAACAAATTGGGAAACGCATAATCAGCTTGCAACATAGACTATATAGGATTCAATTTCTAGGCAAATGTCACAATATCTAGCAAAAGAACAGAATTATTGAGCTTGTTATAAAGAATAAAAATGTTTTTAACATCACATTTAACCTCTGATTTCCCTGGAAGTCAATGGTGTTAGAATAAGTTGGTAACCTTTAAGATGTTATAGCACGTGTTCATTGGCACATATATCTTTTGTATTATTAATGATTCAAGAAAACAACAAAACTCCAAATGGGAATCAACAAGTATATATTGAAATAACATACAAGAACAAAATATACAATACTTTGTATTCAATGTATAGATTAAGGGAAAAGAAGTTGCTTCCCTTTTACTGTATTTTGATTTGTGATTGATTGTTCGAAAGAAAGTTCTCTTTAGAGAGAAATGTTCAGGAATCAATGTTAGAACAAGTCTGCTGTTAGAATAGATAACACAAGAATACAATTGATCAGAAAGTGTGTTGTGTTAGAGAAATCAACAGTCCTGGTTGATTGAACTTGGCTGAGTCACAGAGAGATATGTATATATGTATTACAAAATTCTGTGTCTGTGTGTGCGTTTGAAGTGTTGTGAGGTTTGTGTTGACAGGCGAAATTTTGTGGACTCTACTAGCGGCTTGTGAAAAAGTCGCCTCTTTTAAAGCTACAGATAGGCTCCCAGCAAAACCGCGGGAAAAAGTTGATTTTGCACTAAAATATGTGATTGGTTAAAATTTGAGCAATCGCTAAATTTGTACTAATGAAACAGGTAAGCAAGTTCAAAACTGAAAAATTCAAAGCAACGACCGCGATGGCTAAATTGTCCTATAAAAGGCAGTATTGATTTATTAGCCAATCGCAGACAAATAAAATGTGGGCATGGAAAAACGTAGCAGTTGCTACAAAGATATGTATTGCAACCATTATCATTGGATGTAAATTGGTATCTTGGGGGTAACTTTGGCAGAAAAAATATGTTAGATTAGGAGTTGCTGATTACTAAGTTTATTGGAAGGCTTTAAAGGTCAATTTTGCTTTAAATAGCTTCTTTTAGCCAAATAAGAGAACTTAAATTGCTAAAAACACTTAATTTCTTCTTTTGTGTATACATGTTTTCATATAGAAATTCTAATATTCAGGATCAAAATTGATTTTTTATTTTTATTTGAAATATTGTTGAATTACAGTCCCCCTGGTGATAATCAGAGGTGGCATGATATTTGAAATGCTCTTCCTCTTTTCTCTTTGACTTTTGGAGCAGTAATACACATTTTCTTTTCACTCTAATAGACACAAGGCATGTAAGTACTTCAGAGACACAGACTGAAGATTGTATTGAACTGTTCATAACTTCACCTTCATTTCTTCCTTTATCCTTCTGTAACATGTTAATACATTTATTAATTATTGTATGAAAATGTTAAAACAAACAATTTTGAATATGTCTGCATGAAACAAACCTGCCAAGTTTTCCTCAATGACAAGATAACACACTTGTTGCAACCATAATTTTATAAGACTGTACTTACATCAACCAACTATCCTTCTATCCAACTACAGATCTTTCTGCTATGTTGACCTATAAAATTTGAACAGGTAAGAAAATTAACAATACCTTATGAACTTCATTGTCACTCTCTCTCTACCAAGGAGATTTTTTAAAACTTTAGCAACTAATGTAGGTCCCTACTTTCTTATAAACATTTTTCTATCCAGCTTAATTTTTTAGGCACTTAAAAGAATATTTTCTGTACCCATCTTCTTTTGATATTAATTATTGTAAAAAAATTATTTCTGTTTTAATTTCACACTAAGTAACAATTATATTTTATTGTGTGCCTAATAAAACAACTAATTGGTATTATTTGTATATGGGAAAATCCCCATGAGAGTTTAAATGGTTAAAAATTGTTATATATGGTAAATGTAACTTCATATTTGAAATGTGTAAGCACATTAGATAAAGATAGTAATTCTTTAACAAGGTTAACTGCATCAAAACTTTTGAAAAACAAAATCTATATTTAATTTCTAGCATGGTAGTTTGCTTGTAAAATTTGGTATATAATTATGTTGATAATCATGTCTTATGTACCAAATTTTACAAATTTAATTTTATTAGATGAAAGGATTGATTTACAGTTGTCCATTTATAATTGTTATTGTCTACATGTTATGCTGTTGTTAGTAAGGTATTTAAAAATTGTCTCGAGGAAAATTCTTCCTTAGATGAATCTTCTTGTAGTTCTTAAATCATTTTTTTTGTAACTTAAAACAAAACCTGGACAGTTTATGAAAAAGAAAAAAAATCCTATAAAATTTGTTGAGCAATAAATAAGTCTGCTTTTCTTTTAAGCTTCAAAATGATTTTTAGCAAATTTTCACGCAAGACTTCTATAAATGATGTGAGTGTTTATGTTTTCTAAGAGACCAGACAGACACCGTCTGTGAGAGAGTAATTACAGTTATGTGTGTGTGTGTATATATATATATATATATATATATATATATATATATATATATATATATATATATATATATGTGTGTGTGTGTGTGTGTATGTATGTATGTATGTATGTATGTATGAGGGTCCGCTTTTATTGATTCATAGCCATGACACTACAGAAATGGGCAGATAACTACTGTTGCAAATAAGGCTCTTCGAAAGTAAATTCTAAAAAAAGCGAAAAAGATAATTAAAAACAATTTACTTTCTGATAAAAAAAATTGATCATCGATGTAAAATAAAACTAGGCATTAAAAGGTAAAAAATTGTTTGTTGGAGTAGAAATATTGAGACTTCAGCGTGAAGGATAGTTTATGAAAAATTAAGGAGAAAAACGACATTGACGCCGCCTGGTGGCGAGGTGAGATTAGACACTAAGACAAGCCACCATTTTATGATTGAGGTTGGCTTGGGGAAAGATTGTTCGTTCATTTGACGATTCGGCATTCTTGTGTGAGGATTTTTTATCTGTTGTTTGGCCTCGTTCGGAGATGTACTAGAGAAGATAATGGAGCCATCCGGAAGCAGTTCGGCTCGTGGCCCTCGATTACCGAGTTATATGATAGAAGGTGTTGGAGCCAGAGTCGTTCGTGGTCCCGATTGGAAGTGGGGCAAACAAGACGGAGGTGAGGGACACTTAGGGACGGTCAGGAATTTTGAGTCACCAGAAGAAGTTGTAGTCGTCTGGGATAATGGTACCGCTGCTAATTACAGATGTTCCGGGGCATACGACCTTAGGATTCAAGACAGTGCTCCTACAGGTATTTTTAAAAAATTATTAGTTTGATAATTTTTTTCTTTTAAATGTTTTACGTCCTTAAATTTCCCATTCATTAGTTTACAAATGCTTATTTTTTTTTATTTACTATTAATTATTGTTGATCTAATTAATCGCCTCCTAAAATTCCTATTAAGGTTAAAAAAAATGTCTTTTTTAATTCTTTTAGATCGATATCTGTGTTTCCAGTCCAGTCAAGACAGACTGTCTGTCCACTTTCAGAGACATTTCTGTCATTCCTTTTTTTTCTCCTCATTATTTACTTTTGTTTTTAATCAACAGAAAGTAAGCATATTTTGGGCTTTTATAAGCAGTTAGAATGCCATAACTTATTTGCATCAATATCAAAAATATTTTCTAAAATTTTTAAATCAAAGTTAAAAAAATCTTTTTTTTTTTTTTTTTAAATTCTTTTTTCATTCCTTCCTTCACAATTTTAGTAAAAAAATGAATTAAATTCGTTCTTAGCAGATCATATTCTTTTCTTAAACGAAACCTTTTTTTAGTTTTTTTCTTTTCGTTTAAAAATGTGTAATAATGTGAATTTTTAATAGGGGGATTTTTAAAAAGTTTTAACTTGTGCATTTAAATTAAAAATATTTGGAAAGATCGAAATGAAAAATCTATAAGTAGTAGATTAGTAACAGCAATCATCGTTGAACAAACATAAACTAAAACTGGTATTTATTTTATTTACGTCCGGTTTATGTCACATTGTCTATTTCGCTATTTATTGTCATCAATTTTTCCCTTATTTTTTTTTTTTTTAAAAAAACAATTTATCAATGTTCTTTCTTTTTAATTTCATATGCACAAAAAAATTTCTACATTTAACAACTTAAAAAAATTAAATTTAAAGTAGATACTCTAAATTTCCAATGTCTTCTTTTATTGACCAGAACCTAAAATCAATAAATTAATTGATCTGTCGCTCCCTCATCTCTCTGGAAATTGAATCTTCCCTTTTCGAAAAGACCTCATCATCTCTTCTCTCTAGTTAATTTACTCCTAAGCAACATCATAGCAGCAGTAGTAGTAGTAATAATAACAATAATCTCACAGTCTTGGAATGAGAAGTAGTAGTAAATTTCTTTTCGAAGTGCTTCATAGGTTTAGTTTTACCATCTTTCTTTACCTCACCCTTCGTATATTTTTTCTTGTCTATACGACATAAAAAGAGACAATGATGATGACTTTTCAATTCAACTTTTTCCATAGCTTTTTTAACCGATTCATTGTCATCTCTTCAGTTACTACAATAACAATATAAAAAGTAAAAACAATAATCACCACCAAGAGCTAGAAGTTTGACCATTTTTTACTCAATTCATCGTTGTTATCAGCTGTGTGATGAAGAACATAGTCAAAACGTCTGTATATTGGATTTAAAAAAATAGTTAACGGGTTTAAAACGATCCGTTATCGTAAGGAAATCTTTTTTTTTTTATACACTTGTTAAACTTCCTCCACACGCACTTCTTGTCTCACATTGTGGAGCGATGGTTAACATAACAATCTCGTTTCTCGTAAACATCGCAAGTAGAGTGAGTTCAATCCTTAGTGGATTCTGCACTCTTGTAACCTTGTGCCAAGCCAGGGTTCGTAATAATTTTCTGTGTGTTCTGTTCAATAAGCAACCAGTCTGCATTTTCCCTCATTTTGACTTGGTAAAAATGTGACACTAAGCATTTGAACAATAATCAATATTATCTTATTGCTGAAAAATTGCCCAGTGTTAATTAAATTACCTACTTATATAAAAAAAAAAATATTGGAAATTTGCTGCTGCCTATTTGTTTAAAAATTCTGATAAGGCTTTTTCTGATAATGTTAAGATTTTTTGGGGCTCATAACTTGTAGTTCTCCCTTGCTTTTTTTTTTTTTCAAGATGATTTTTCCAAATATGACTCCCATGCATACTTTTCTGCTTTCTTCAAGTAGAACTACTTGAAGAGTACAGAAAAGTCTGCATGAAGTCATATTAGTGCTGTCACATGGTGGCAGATGAACTAGTTTGATCACACCTGCATTATTTGTGACTAACAGTTTTTTTTAAAATCAAACTAAAAGAAAGACTCTTCCTACTATGTGAGAGTCGTTGTATATCAGTGCAGACTGATCTTTATTCCTTTTAATAAATTTTAAATTTAACAATCTTCATCTTTGTTGCTTTTTTATCATTTTTCAAATATGCTCTTTCTTTGTTGCCTTCATATTTTGTTTAGTTTCTGTGCTTGTAATACACACCGATAACAACCCATTGAACAAAGCTATGAAACTATTTTTAACCATTTTAAAAGGGTTAAACTTAAAAACTTTTCAACCCTTTTAGCTTTTTAAATTCAATGAAAAAGGGATTTTATTATTTGTGCTATTTTTCTTTCTTTCTTTTTTTTTTTTTTTAGCTTTTTGTCGATTTTCAGATCCTATCCACCACTAGAGAATTTCATTTACTCTCGTTTTCATAACAAGATTAACTTCCAATAGAAGTATAGATTACCAACATAGAGATAAAAGTAAATAAAGACGTACACCCTATCAGGGTTTGTGTTCTTTCATCATATTGGGAAAAGCTTGTTATTTTTGCTATACACGGCCAAACCATTTGGTGTATCCATCAAACACTCGGCGAAAGATTTTTTAACATAAAAGAATTTTTCTTTATTGAAAAAGGATGTGTAATTCCTTTCTATTATGTGGATTTATCTTTCACAGTAAAGCTGGCAGACAAGGTGAAGTAATCCTCACAAATATTAATGCAGGATTAAAGAAATGTGCATTTTGAATATATTGTTGAAGGACTAAAAATGCATTTGAAATAGTTTCTGCATTTTTGTTCAGTTGAATAATTTCAGTATTAGAACCATTTTCTTACCCATGCTTTTGTCATATTTGATAAATTTCATTTTTTTAAGAAACAATCCATCTGACTTCCACTTGTTGCTGATAAAAAAATTCTCATGTTTTATTGTCAATTCTCTCTCTACATTTTTTATTTGTTACTTCCCTTCATTTCTTCCTTTGTAAACATATATGTATATCACATTTGCAATGATTCTCACATTACAAATCAATAAGTAATCTTTCTCTTCATATCAATTTGTTTAAGGTTAAGAGGATTAAGATCCTTTCATTTGAAAGTCAAACCTGCTTATTTAAATCCAAAACTTGCTTATCAGTTATTTTAATGCCTGTTTGAGGCAAATTTAGTTGGCCAACTTAAGTTCAAAACTTAATTTGAGGTGACAATGATTACTATTGTCCTAGATTATATCTGCATATTTTTATATGCAAACACACGCACGCATGGTGAGTTAAAGTCTAAAATTGCAATTATATTTTCTGGAAGTACAATCATACCATGTCCTAGAGGTGAAAATACTTGTGACTAGGCTAACAATGAGTTGGCTGCATAAAGTCTACAATAGGTTACTTTTGATTGATGTTGGCTCACAGATATGAAGAACTAAATCTTAGCTTCTAAATAAATCCCTGACTGTGGAGAAGAGTCCTTATTACTATTATTTAAATTGTAACTGTGTGTTAAGCTAGTCTTTAATTAATACTTCTGTTGATGACATGCTCTGACTGAATGATGACTGGTGGTACCTGATAACTTGCTGACTGATTTGGCATCATGAAGCATGTCTAAAGCCTTTTGTAGCCTGACAGCATCTATCTTCTTTGTGCATTAATTTTAGTATGCTGATTAGGTCTGAATATATCCATTCAATCTCTAAATCTTTCCTGAGTAAAGCCTGCTGTCTTCTAATTCTTTGATTCTGTTATTGTTTTGTAGCTCTCTGAATCTGAAAAGTCTCTTGTCAGCTTATGAATTATTTCTTCTCAAATCCACTTAAAAAATATAGATATTAAACCTCCTCAATATATCTTTGTTTATAATTATAGTAAGTATAGGGGCTTTTTTGACTTGTAGTGAAGTGCATTTTCTGTTTTAAAAGAAATTATGTAACCTTTATATCCATTATCAGTGATGACATATGGAAGACATTTATTGTGTATATATTCAGTTTGTAAAACTTTATTTAGCAAATTCTCTAACCCTCTTCAATTGGCTGATTTACAATTATTTATCAATGAACAAGAAGGCATAATATACTCTCAAAACTTTGAATGATTTCAAATTCTCAATCAGGTAATCTCTATTGCCAATTTTGTTAATGGGATCTGGACCATGCAGTAGTTTCTGGTGGGGGCCTTTTGATGTCATGATGAAGTGAACAATTAGAGCTATACTTTCTGGCAATCCCTATTAATTAATGGTTGTTGCTGTTTCTCTGCCTTGATTCATCAACCCCCCCCCCACACACACACAGAACCATGTCAATACCTAAAACAAACTGATGAATCGAACCCAGTTCTTAATCAAAAGTAGATCCTTATTTTTCCATTTCCTATAACAATATAAGAGGTCTATGTTCCAACTTTCCAGAAGTTGAACTCCATCTTCAAGAGGTTAAACATGACTTTGCTCCTTTCTGAAACTAGCCATAATCTATCTATTCTGGCGCAAATATTCTCAATTCAAGCTACTTGTCTTTAATCACCAAATGAAAATCTCTAAATTTCCCTGGTCATGAATTTATTCTCTATATCAAGGATGGGTTCCTATGTGGCAGAGACTCCACTTAAAAGAACTCTGACTTCCCATTTATGTGCTTTTGTGTGGCCCTTGTTCATAATGTCCTTCATATTTACTATCCTCCTCATAGTGATGGAGTTGTGATGTTTGACAAAATGGCTGAGAAGATTGATGTTATCCTGTCTGATTATCTCTCAGCTAGCATTCATGTATGTGGCAATTTCAATGTTTATCATGAAGAATGGTTAGTCCGCTCAAACAAAACTGATGAAGAAGGTAGATACTGCTATGACTTTTCCATCATTTACAAACTGACCCAGATCATGGATAAGCCAACTTTTTCTCCTGATTTAGTAAATTGCCATGTAAATCTTTTAGAC